CATCTCTAGTCACTGCATCCGCTATTTCCATTATAACATCAGCATTGGATAGTATTACAAGACAGTTTATTATATATCAGGATTTTCTATGGTGGCTAACAGTTTGCTCAGCCATCTTTACAAAAATACAGGGAGTATCAATACAGCAACAATACAAGTGGGTTAGGAGTGGCCTGTATTCCTTGGAGCTTACAACTCGAAAGAGTTTATGCTTGACTTGAAAATCTTGTGTCTCATGTTTGCGAGTGAACATCCTGTCTGCTGACCAGTCCTCTTTCTACAACTTCCCTAGAATCCCTGGCGGATGCTTTTCCCTGTTTTGTACCAAAAGCTGAAGATAATATACCACAGAGGTACATAGTTGGGTTAGTTTCTACAGTAAAATATGATTATTCAATGTTAAATTATTGTATGTATTTCCTAAATAACCTGTCGCACAACTAGAGTCCTGAACGATTTCTGAGCAGTGTGGTCTGGTTCAGGTGCGGATTTCAGGGTATTGACTTTTATGTGAACCGTTCCTAAACCACATATGTATGAATATAAAATTTCTGACCTAATCATGTCCTGAACCTGACATGAACCGCTGAACAACTACTGTGTCAGTTAGCTGTGAAACCTGATCTTCAATCCGCCCGGCACATGTGTGAATCAGCTCTTCTATTGGAAATGCAAGATGTATGTAGTGCTCTGTATTGAAGCTGTAATAAAGGATTTCAAACTAAAGTGTCTACATAAACAACTTCTCTTATTGTCCAAAGCAACCAATTAAATCGGTTCCTTTCACTCTCCCTTAATGCAAAAGAAAACTAAATGGAACAATCTGATTGATGGAAGAAAAACAGCTTTTCCCTCAGTTATTTTGATAAGGACCTTTAAAAAAAGCCTGCCAGGTTTTAATCTTTCAACTCATTGCTTGGAAATTGTACAAAGACAGTGCAAAGATACCTTCCTCCAGCAGAAAAGGGCAGGAAAGCGTGTGTGTGAATGTCTTTTGATGGTATTTTCTGGAGAAAATCTAAGGGGATCAAACACCTAAAAGGAGAAAGAAAATACACTTTATTAATATATGTGTAGGAAAAAAAAGGAATTGTCAACGTATTTAATAAAGGGTTTTTTTTGGTATTGACTACAATGGTCCTCAATAGTCTGATTGACTGGGGTAGGGAGTTCCAGAGGATGGGGGAAGCCCTGGAGAAGTCCTGGAGACGAGCATGGGAGGAGGAGACAAGAGAGCTAGAGAGCAGGAGGTCTTGTGAGGAGCGGAGAGTATGGTTTGGGTGATATTTGGAGACAAGATCGGTGATGTAAATTGGGGCAGAGTTATAAACGGCTTCATACGTCATCTACTACTAGCTATGAGTGTCTGTGCAGTTAATAACGGCCAATCAGATTCTGGCTTTCAATTTTCCAGTGCACATATAGTATGAAAGAAACCTTCTGACATCTGCCCTATTGCCCTGCCATTAAACAGCCTTGTTATTCTATAACATCACCCAGTTTCAAGGGAAACATCACTTCAGATAGAAGAACTGTTATATACAATACATTTTCATAAATATACCCACAGATATAAATATATATATACACATACACACACACATATATATATATATATATATATATATACACCATTTTATCATTAATTGTTATTAAAGCCTAATATTCCTTTTTAATCTATAGCTGTTGTGATTTACTAAACCTGGTGAAAAGTTCCAGATTCAAGGCAACCTGGGGTATTCTGTACATCAGAGCGTACAAGTCCCCTCCAGATATTACACTTCCTGTATATATGATTGGATTACTGCTCTTCCCAGTTTCCTGCAAAGGGCTTGAAAGCAGACCTTGTACTACAAGGACAGTCCACTTATTTACTGAGGGCCCCCTCCACCATGAAAAAACACTGCACTACAATAAAAAGAATGAAAAACCTGCAGACTAAAAGAATATTTATTATAATTACCTTACTAAGAGGTAACGTCACCATCCTTCTGCCAAGATGTGTGAGACAATCTCACAAGATGATGCTCTAGCACAGTGATGGAGTGTCCTCTCGCAAGATTTGGGCTACTTGGCATTCCCCGACCTCATAAAAAGGATGTAATGTTACCCTCACCTAGGTGTCACGGGCAGAAGCCAGGGGTGAGATAAGTATGATAACTAACTTTTCTTATCCACTACCCGTGCCGCCATTGACGGCTACAGTTGTCGATCACCGGGTCCCGGACGGAGATTACCCACCGGAACCCCGCGATCAAGGAACACTGACAGGGGAGAAGTCTGTATCTAAACCAGGGGCGGACTGACCATTTGGAAACTTGGGCACTGCCCGAGGGCCCGGGGACAGTAGGGGGCCCTATGAGATGCCCCTGGTACCTTTTTCATAGGCTTTTTTGAGTTTGGGCAAGGATACAGGGGCCCCGTGAGTTGAACCCCTATTGCCTGGGGACCCCATGAGTTGTCAGTCTTCCCCTGATCTAAACAATACAGATCTCTCCCCTGTCAGCACCAGCATGCTGCTTTGTATTGCTCTGCATAGTAGAGCAACACAAAGCAGCATGCTTACACAGTATAACACACACAGGGGACACAGTAAAACAGCACATAGCACACAATTAACCCTTTGATCGCCCCAGATGTTAACCCCTTCCTGCCCAGTGTAATTAGTACAGTGTCAGTGCTTTATATTAACACTGATCACTGTATTAGTGTCACTAGGGATGTCAGTGGCAGTTAGTCAGTTGCCCACCGCAGTCCTGCAGTCCTGCTATAAGTCACTGATCGCCGCCATTACAAGTAAAAAAATAATAATAAAAATTCCAGTATATATACCTCCATTTGTAGACGCTATAACTTTTATGTAAACCAATTAATTTACACATAATGGGATTTTTTTTCAGCAAAAACATGGAGCAGAATACATTTTGGCCAAAATAGCAAAAAGTCAAAAATATTGTTTTTTTTTTTCAAAATTGTTGGTATTTTTTGTTTATAGCGCAACAAATTAAAAGCGCAGAGGTGATCAAATACCACCGAAACAAAGCTCCATTTGTGGGAAAAAAAAGGGCATAAATTTAATTTGGGTGCAGTGCTGCATGACCGTGCAATTGTCAGTTAAAGTAACGCAGCGCCGCGAATCACAAAAAATGGCCTGGTCAGGACGGGGGGGTAATGCCTCTGGAGCGCAAGTGGTTTAATGTTGTATTCCGTTTGGGAAATTCCATACCATCCAAAGTCTGATGTTAAAAGCAAACAAAATTTTGAAGTACTTTCGAACAACATTCAACAAGTCCCTTATGACATTATCAAATGTATTGATGAGATCTTTCATAGAAATGTTTGTATAAAAAATTGTACAAAAATCTACCGGTGTATGGCCAGCTTTAGACTGCTGAGTTGGGTATAAGGAAAGGTAGATCTACCCATCTGTAGTTATTTTTGAAAAAAGGGCATGAGAAGACCTAATTCATTATCTCCAGACCAGGGGCGGACTGACAACTCGAGGGGCCCTTGGGTAATAGGGGATCATGGGGCCCCTGTGTCCTCATCCACACTCAAACCACACCCAAAAAAGCCCATGAAAGGTACCAGGGGCATCTCATGGGGCCCCCTACTGACCCTGGGCCCTCGGGCAATGCCTGAGTGCCCGAATGGTCAGTCCGCCCCTCTCCAGACCAAAATCAGTTACGAAATCTGCAGTAAAATCTGCTAATATTCTTGCAATGTTGTGTATAGTTCACCAGAGTGGGTTGTTTTTTACTCAGTAAAACTGAACTTTCACTTTAAATATACCATATAAATGTAAAGTATTCTTTTGTTTCCTTTTGTATCAGTCTGACCATATTGGGTCTTTTGATGTTTATGTACCCTACTGTCAATTGTACTCTCTGTAAAAAAAAACGATTGATAAAAAAAGAATGCATAAAAAAAGTACTCTTTTGAAAAAAGAAATGCCGATCCACAGACGAGATATCATTTGTTCACACAAATGTTTTTTGCACAATTGAGCAAACACAATACAAACATTTCACAGTGTAAGCACTTGCCTCTGGATTTTCCCATACATTAGAACATCTGTTCATTGCATATATGCTCAGCAAAACACCTGCACCTGTAGATATAGGAAGGACATGAGTGGATGAGCGGGTGATTTGTATAGTATACAAGAAAACTAGCCATAGTGATTATGTTTTAACATATACATATAAAAAACCCTTTGTTATATTTCTAAACAAGCAATTCAGGTCAATATATGTTTTGTTCTGATTCCATGGTTGTAACATATTATCTTCTTACAATGCAGCTGATCCTCCCCACAGCATACAATATCAGTGCAGTGAGAAAAACACAGTTCATGTACACCAGAACGAGTGAGAGTAGGCAACCCTGGAGTGATGGAGTGCAGCATGATAACCCAGCAGAGCCCATCAAAAAGTAATGAAGGTTTGAAGAATTCAGGGGTCAGTAGTAAATAACACAGAGTTCAGAGGTCAGTAGTATGTAATGAATAGTGGAGGATCATGTGTAAGTAATGCAACATTCAGGGATCAATAGCATGTATAAGTGTACGGCCCAGAAATAGGTAAGCAATGTTCACAGGTCAGTAATATGTAATGCACAGTTCACAGGTCAGTAGTAGTAATGCACAGTTCACAGTTCACAGTAAATGTAATGCACAGTTCACAGGTCAGTAATATGTAATGCACAGTTCACAGGTCAGTAATATGTAATGCACAGTACAGGTAGTAATATGTAATGCACAGTTCAATAATATGTAATGCACAGTTCACAGGTCAGTAGTCAGTAATGCACAGTTCATGTAGTATGTAATGCACAGTTCCAGGGGCGGACTGACAACTCATGGGGCCCCCGGGCAATAGGGGATCATGGGGCCCCTGTGTCCTTGCCCAAATTCAAAAAAGCCTATGAAAAAGGTACCAGGGGCATTTCATGGGGCCCCCTACTGACCCCGGGCCCTCAGGCAGTGCCTGAGTTTCCAAATGGTCAGTCCGCCCCTGCACAGTTCACAGGTCAGTAGTATGTATTGCAGAGTTTAGGGGTCAGGAGTACATAATGCAGAGTTTTGGGAGTCAGTAGTATGTAATGCACAGTGCAGGGGTAAAGAACAACGCAATGTTCAGAGGTCAGTAGTATGTACGTAATACAGAGTGTAGGGGTCAGGCGTATGTACCAGAGTCCAAAGGTAAGCAGTATGTAACATAGAGTGCAGTTATGAAAGGCAGATCCTCCCATAGGTGAAAAGTATGTAAGGCATGTGGAAGGGTCAGGAGTAAGTAACACCGAGTGCAGGGGTCAGTATTATGTAACAGGCTTACGTAACAGAGTCCAAAGGTAAGCAGTATATAACACAGAGTGCAGTCAGTTATTATAAAAGACAGATCCTCCCATAGGTGAAAAGTATGTAAGGCATGTGGAAGGGTCAGGAGTAAGTAATACCGAGCGCAGGGGTCAGTATTATGTAACAGGCGTACGTAACAGAGTTCAAAGGTAAGCAGTATGTAACACAGAGTGCAGTCGGTTATTATGAAAAGCAGATCCTCCCATAGGTGAGAAGTATGTAAGGCATGTGGAAGGGTCAGGAGTAAATAACACAGAGCGCAGGGGTCAATATTATTTAACACAGAGTTCAGAGGTCATGAGTATCTAACACAAAGTGCAGAGGACAGTACTAAGTAATACAGCGTTCAGATGTCAGAAGTACGTAACACAGGAAGCAGGGATCAGGGGTAATTAATGCAAAATTCAGAAGTCATTGATACATACCACAGGGTAGAGAGGTCAGGAGTAAATGACACAAAGTGCAGAGGTTTACTCACCAAAGCCTCAGATGTAGTGGCACGCAGCAGAGTAAGGCAAACCACCCCAGGTCTATTCTTGGCTTTGTCACATGGTATGATAGAGCTTAGAAATAGCCTAGGAATTCTCTCAGGTCTACATTCACATTGCTGCTCTGATCTGGGGTCTGAGGCAGCACAGCGGGGTCAGAAGGTGGTGGCAAGTCGGGGACAGTCACAACCTACCCATCACATGACCATAGTTGCCAGGTAAATTGTGATCAACAGGTTGCCAACCCCCCGAGATAGAGGAATCTAATTTCTTGCTGCTGCTTGGCTGAAATTCTCAATAACATAAAAGTTTCACACTGATGTTCAAATGTAAGATACAATTGAGCTGGTTTATTAAAGTAGCTGACAATCTGCACACAATAAGTGATATGAAAGTTCACTTCAATTTAAGTAATCATGTGCTGATTAAATAAATGCTGAACTGGATAACTCGTTTAGTAAATCAATTGCATTTATTAACTGAATACTTGTAGCTACAGATAGACAGACATATGTCTGCCCAAAAAACAGGAAATGATGTTCCTATTCTTGCAAGAGTCTACAGGAGACCTGCTACAATCCTTGCACAATGCTGACAGACATGCCATCCTCTTTTCTTGGACACAGTTAGGAAAGCCATAGATTATGTGATTTTCTTTCCTGCAACCACGGGTTACAGGAAAGACAATCGCTTGATTCCCCCATCAACACAGTCAGTGTTGATGGGGGAACCCCTGCCACAGAGCTGGAGTCAGGGGGGCTGTCCCTGCCAGGAGAACACAATGATTATTGCTATCAGCTATAGCCGCTGGCAATAATCGCATTCTGAAAATATGACATGCTGATTGATGGATTCATTTTGGTACAATCAGTATATTCAAATAGATAATTTGTATATATATACACTGTATATGTAATTTTCTGGAGAGATGCAAATCTCATCTTTTGGGCAGAAGACCCTTTTGCACCTAAAAAAAGTGCCCCAGACATATTCTTAACTGACATTTTTGAAGCTGATATGTTCATGAATAAAACACACACTTCTGTAAACACTGATGAATGTATCACAACAAACTTTATATTTAACATAAGAGAAATGATGACTGACCTTTTGGAAGGCTCCGCCCATCACAGAATGTGATTGGTTGGTTGAGCTCACGAGCCACTTCAGGTATAGGTGGATACAGGCGCATGCTCTCCTTAACACACATAGTGGTGTATGGAATCTTAGCCAGATCCTCCCTGACCACACAAAAGAAAAAATATTGGTACAGATGGATCATCCAAGCATTTTGACGAATTTCAGTTTAGATGGAGTGACAAACCCAACCAGGACAGGGGCTTTTGGAGGGGACTAGGGCTAGCCTTCTACCCACTGATTATGGCCCATAGAGGAGACCGGGGATTTTCTCTGCTCCTCCCAGTCAGAGCATGGAAAAGAACTCAGTTCAGCCTCTGATCACATGGCGATAGCGGATCACCCTGGGATGATGGATAATAACATGATGAATGCTAAAAGCGAGTTTGGATTAATTCTCTAAATAAAGTCAATAAATGTTCCCTTCTGGAGTGGATGGAAAGGTGTAGTATTGATCTTGTACAGGTTAATGGTCAGAGGAAATATGGTGGTCCTCCTGCAGACTGGGTTGGAGAAGCTCCTTCTTTTGGGACAGAAATATTTATCAACAATCTCCCTCAAGAAATCTAAGAAGATAAATTAATTCCACTTTTTCTAATGGTGACTTTTCTAGTGGACAGATTACACAAGTCACCTGAAAGACAGCATGAGTAATGTACTTTGTGTATTCAGGTTTGGAGATGCCGGGCTGTCTATGGTGGGCTCCTGGCTGGCCTGGGTGTCTGGCTGTTGATTAGCTTACTGTCAATTAGATCAGCCCTCAACATTTCCACTTCAGGACTAGAAGTGATTGGGAGGGGCGATGGTGGGGGCAGTTGCAAGCAGCGATCTCCCTGTATGGATGTCAATGAAGCAGCTAAAAGCCATGGGAGGGAGAGGAGGAGTAGCTGCTTCATTGAAAATCATACAGGGAGTTCACTGCTTGTAACTGCCCTCACCGCTGCACCAATCATCCCCGATCCTTCACTTTCTTTCCAGGCCCCCCTATGTGCTCCTTAGTGCCCAGTCTTTCCCCCTAATCTCCACACTGCTCTGCCTCCCCCTGTGCCTGCCCACACTCCAGTCTATGTAGCTTGAAGAGTATGTGCGGGCGGGAATTATTATACAGAGCAGCCAGTAGCCCTGTGATGACAAAGCCATGTGAGTTTGACCTTCCTTCCTCTCTTCTCTTCCTTCCCCTTCCTTCTTTCACTCCTTCCTTCCCTCCTTCCTTTCCCTCTTTCCCTTCCTTCCTTATCCCCCTTCCCTTCCTTCCTTCCTCTTTTCTTCTTTTCCTTCCTTCCTTTCTTCCCTTCCGCCCTCCTGCCTTTCCTTCCTTCCTTCCTTCACTCCTTATTTCCTTTCCTTCCCTTCCCCCCGCTTCCTTCCCTCCTTCCTTTCCTTTGTTCCTTTCTTCCTTCCTCTCCTTCCTTCTCTTCCTCCCCTCCCTTCCTTTCCTTCCCTCCCCCCTGCTTCCTTCCCTCCTTCCTTTGTTCCTTTCCGTTTTCCTCCCCTTCCTTCCTTTCCTTCCTCCCTTCCATTCCCCCCTTCCTTCCTATAATCCGTAACCCTCTCCCTGCACTATGCATCACACCACTGACCTCTGCACTGTGCATTATTTTGTTTCCCTATTGATGTAAAGCACTTACTTTCCCTTCATGTTTACAATGTTTTATGTCAATATTGTTAAAGCTGTTGTTGCTAATGTTTGTTTTTGTACCTTTATTTTGCCTAAAACACCTAACAGTGTCAATTCATGAGATAATTTTCGAGGGCGTGTTTAGGGGTGGAATTAGGGGCATGGCAGGGTAGGGGTTGGGTGGGGCAACTGGTGGCGAGTAAGGCCTGGCTAGTAGCTCAGAATTTGACATTTTGAGCCCTGGAATAGATCACGGTTAGCTGTTGGCTGTTCATTAGATGTACTGATGATAAAGTTTGCAATATTTAGGATTATGTGATCAAGCTCTTATGATTTTGTGCGGTATAAATTCTGTGTGGATTTTCAATAAGGGGAGAGTACCAGTTTGCACCTAAGCTAGTGTCGTCTAGTCCTTGGTGCAATGCCCTGCTATAATACCTTGGTCCTGTGTCCCAATGGTGAGGAAGCAGTTCTCTGATAGATGCACCCAGGTGGTCCGTCACAGATGGAAATCCCCTCTCTGCTTAGGACCCTTCTGAGGTAAAATGAAGGCTAACTGTGGCTAAAACCAGATTCCTATAGGCTTGTTCAATAAAACATTGCAAATATGCAGGCGGCACCTGTAGCAATCTGTTCAAATCTCTGACTGTAGCTATCCCTAAATCTGATTTGACGTTTCATATATGCCTCTGCTGTCCTAAGATATAAAAATAGATAAAGAATTGGTTTCTTTATGGTCACATTATGACATGAGATTTCACCAGCAGGTAGCAATGAAATTTGGATATATATAGCTTCTGTTTTCAGGAAAACCCAGAAGATGTCAAAAGACAGGACCTCTTTGTGCTAATAAATGTCTAAGATAAGGCATGGCATGATGACGTTAATTACTCCACACTGCGACTGAGGATGCTGTCAACAAAAATGATTTTTTGGGCTATGTGAACAAACCTAAATTCCCCCCTAATCACACTGAAAACATATTGGGGAAGATTTACTAAAACCGATGCACTGGTGCAGTTGAGCACAGATAACCAATCAGCTTCTAACTTCAGCTTGTTCAACTAAGCTTTGACAATAAAACCTGGAAGTTGATTGGTTTCTATGCAAAGCTGCACCAAATTTTGCACCATGCAGTGTTAGTAAATAACCCCCATTAAGTCTGACCAGATAACAGTGATGGAAATAGATCCCTGGATCCCAGGCTTGCAGCACTACATTCATGCTGCTCAGAAGTATCTGAACCATTAGTTTAGCTTTGTATTAAACCAGTAATAAACAAAGTAATAAAAATCAACACATGAATAATAAGTTCCTACCACAACACAGTGTCCCGATCTCTCAGCACCTCTCTGATTTCCTCCCGACATTTTTCTTGGTGTTCGGGGTATTTGGCCATACAGTACAATGTCCAT